AATACCTTAAACTAGTTAGCCCTACCAAATGAATGTATCGATATATAATTGAAACTAATCTCACCCTTCTACACTAAGCCTCTATGTCACTAATCTTTGGGTTAACATTCTTTTAAATAGTTATATACCTCATTCACCGTATGCTCACCCTAACTTATAAACATCAGTCACCATTTGAATAACTATTTAACAAAGCCTTTAATTTTTAAAAAATTAAAATATTTAGTTATTTATGTTATCTTTGGCTATGCCGCTATGCTTCACATAAGTTAATACCAAGTTCCAAGCTTAGCATCTTTATTGGGTACTCCATTAAGTATAATGCTTTTCGATACTGTGATCATTAACTCAAAAGGTCTTTGTATTATATCATATTATTTTTGTTGAGTCTATCTTTCTATTCTAAAATCTTAGTCAATGTGAGCCACTACAATAACCATCATCATTAGGTTTATATAAGGACATCTCAAATCCCTTCAAAGACATCTTTCGCCATATCAACTAACAATTCTCCTTTAGACATATATTCTTTTATTACTCTAGTTCAATAGCATCTTACCCCTTCTGCAACTTCTTCATCTATCTTTCCATTAACTCACTCTATAATATTTAATGAAGTAATGCCCTCGATACCACAAATGATATATTTATCCTCTCCTTAACCAAGTGACATCGAAGTGTATCATCTTGATCAGATATATGTTAACTCTTCACCAATTCTTATATCTTCAGTACAACTTAATAATATCACCAATCTTAGATATCACATGATAATACATTTTAAATATAGCATATTTAAACTATATTAAATCCTTGATCTCCATGCTACTATAATTTCTCCACACGAGTCTACTGAATTCACAATCATCACCAAAGCCAAAAAAATCTTAATATTGGTGTAAAGTCATGTATGAGAAATTCAGTGTCTTACTCCATAATGTCATATGAACCCTTGCACTATTCACCTCATACAAAATATTTTTGGGTGTAGGTGAATTTTTTGAATTAAGTGAAACCCAGATGAATCTATTGTTATATACAAAGTATGTCTAATGACCAAAGGGTTTTACCAATGATCATATATTGATTTCAGAGAGATCTTCGGTCCAGTTATTAATTGATGATAATTTAACTCATCCTAAGTTTGGCTATCACTCAAGGCTAGCATGTATTACAACTGTATGTTAACAATACTTTCTTTGAATGCATCTTGATTAAGGATGTCTTTGTGTAACAACCCCGGCTTCATCTATCCGTAATATATAAATAATATTTGTAAACTATAAAAAGCTATTTATGAACTTTTGCAAGCTCCAAGAGCTTGGTATACCAAACTTGGCTCGTTTTTTATATCAACTAGCTTCGTCAACTCCAAGTCTTACACTTCTTCAATTCTACAATAACAAAAGGAATGTATTATATATTTACTTGTATATATGGATGACATTATCATCACAATCAATAATTCCATGAAAATTAAATAATTTCATAAGCAATTGATAGATAGATTATCTATCAAAGACTTAGAAATCTTAAGTTATTTTCAAGGAGCGGAGGCAACGTTCATATCTTCTGAACATTTTTTTTTTATCTCAAAAGAAGTATATTCGAGATATACTATTAAGGACGAATATGTAGAATGACAAAAAAAGTTACTACCCCACTCTCCACAACTGAGTTACTCAAATCATATGATGTCCGCTCTACTACAGATTCTATATAGTATCGATAAGTACTTAGTTCTTGCAGTTAAAAGATTTGAGAAAGAAGAATGAGCTAGGTATTATAGACATAGGTAACTCCGTGCTCACAATTCTCACTTTTGCCTTATTACCATGCTATATAAGAATTGAAGTAGGTAAAAAAGGGAATGTC